TCTCCCCAGCTGTTCACTCAGTGGGTTAGGTATAGTACTAAGATTAAACAAATTCATGCTAAGAATGAATGATTCTGGGGCCAGGGTTGTAGCTCAGTGGTGCTGCATCGGCCTGGCAAGTGCAAGTTCCTAAGTTCAATTCCTGATACTAGGAAAAAAAAAAAGAATTAATGATTCTAATGTTGATTACAGGCATAGGGCATTTGTATAATAAGAAAAAAATTACTCTGAAGGAATGAATCTTTTATGGTGGCCTTTCAGTGTTTTATGAATTAAGAATCTTTCCAGACTCGTTAAGTGATCCTGTTTAGGAATTGAGTTTGGGCCAAGGCTCTTATCTTTCAACACTGACAAGTTGTCTTGATTTCAATACTTGAGAAGCTAATTGACATTAGGCTCTTACCAACACCATTAGTGCATTCTTAATATCGGAATTGACAGACATTTCATCATAGCTCAGGTGCTACACATTCAGTATCAAGTCCTGTCTTATTCAAGGAAAAGCATGTGTGGGTAACGTAAGACCACCCGTGTTTGAGCCTCTGCCTGTGATGTTTTTGTCTTACACTCTGTGGCCTTGGTCACAGAACTTCAGCAGTGGTGAGTACAGACATTTTAGATACTATAGCAAGTGCTTTCTCTTTTCCTTTAGTCACTGAAAGACATGCAGAAACCATGCCTTTCTTCTATGCTCTGCACTGCTTAGCTGTAAGGACAGCCTAGAACCAGCTGTCCCAGAGTTTCTATACGGTGGCCCATCATTGTCTTAGATCTTCTGCTTCTCAAGGCTTCCTGCTTCTTGACTTTCAAAAACTACCTCCTGGTCTTCATTGTACAAGGTATTGTAAAGTGATGGGAAATCTGATACCAAAAAACTGATAAATTCACACTTATAGAAAAACACTTATTATAATTAGCTCCAGATAAGCTTCAGTTGTCTAACTGAGCAGTTTACAGATTTAAAAACCATGTTCTGGGATTGGGAGGTAGACACATTTCCATATGGCAACCCGAACGATCCTTGTAAATGATTTTACTAGTTTACATCTTGACTGTGGAGGAAAATACACAAACTTGTATGTGATAAAATTGTATAGAAAGCTGAACATACACAAATGAGTACCTATAAGACTTGGGAAAATCAGAGTGTGATTGGGGACTTGTACCAGTTTTCATAGAGATATTGCACAGCAGTATGCAAGACATTACCGTTGAGGGAAATGGGATAAGTGGTGCACAGCATATCTCTATATTACCTCTTAAATCACACATAAATTTATAATTATCTCAAAATAAAAATCTTAAGTAAAAACTATGTGTTCTGTTTCCCCCAAAGATGAAATCCATCCATACAACATATAAGCAAACACAAGGGTTCACAAGGGTAATCCAGACCCCCACAGTGAGTGTGTGTACATCTTTGCTATCGACACATTTGATTATGACAATTTTATGTTTGGATAATGGGCTGAATCTAAATTAGGTGTCATAAATCATAGCCACCTTCTTTAGGTCTTGTGCAAACAGGACGATCATGGCTGTATCAGAAGTTTTCTGTGCTGGTGAATATAAATGTTTAACAAATAAGAAAAAGGATCAGAAGGTGTGTAATTCTGTATTCTTACTGATTTTTATACTGAAGTGCTTAAAAAGTCTCAAAAAAGTTGAAGAGGGCAAATCCATATTAAGGACTTGGAGAAAACACATTGAATGTTTATTTGTTCTTGAACTCTGTTTCCATAACATGCCTTTTTAGTAATGATGTTTTATTCTTGAATTATAGCAGAAAATCTCCTTCCACTGCAGATAAACTGCTCTTATAATCACACTACAAATCTCTCATTGATTCAAAATGATTGGGTATGGAATATTTTATTAACACAGTGTGGTTACTGAGAGTTGTGCTTGTATGAAACACAATGATTATCAATTTCATAGGATTCATAGTAAAATATACTTAATTTAATAAACTCAAGTTCAGTATGATACAGAAGTATATGTATTTTTAATTTTGCATTTTCTCTAGGATCCAGCAATGTTTAGAAATATAATAAATGTATCTCAATTATTATTGTGAAGACAAGTAATTTAGGGTAAATTGATGATAAGGAAAATTATACTATACACATCTCAAAAACCCAACAATCATAGATTCTTCATATCAGCAGGCATTCTTTTCCTACATACACAGTGTGGACTGTGAAATTGAGTTTTTTGATGTCTTAACATTTTCAATTCTTTTTTTCATTAGATGAGAACATTTCTATAAATAGAACACCAGGGTCCATGTTTTTGTAGTGTTTCAGTTTTACATAATTTCAGATATAACCAATATTAAATTTTACCTCTTTTATGTTAAATAGATAAAGTGTCTGCTATATGACAGATGAATTATCTCATGGAGTCTATTTTATAGCCAAGCATTTAACATCATACACAATAACTTGGTCCACTGCCTGAGAAACTGAGGTAATGCAGGCAGGGAAAGCAATCTGTACAAATTTACAATATAATTTTTATCTTATTCAGAGAAAAGGTTTTCTTTTTCCATTTTGTATAAGAACTTTAGTGGTTAGCACTGTAAATCTTCCTGAAATTTTGTTCTTTCACCTCACCAAACATCTACATCAAACGTGTGCAGCACCAGCAGACTAGTGATCAGATAAATTTAAACCCAGAGGCAGGAGTGGGGCATAGTGGTACCCTGTAATCCTAGTGGCTTAGGAGGCTGAGGTAGGAGGATCTCAAGTTCAAGGTCAGTCTGGGACACTTATTGAAATCCTGTCTCAAAATATAAAAGGGGCTAGGGATGTAGCTCACTGAAAAGGCCTTAAATTCAATCCCTAGTACTGTCATCCAAATAAAACAAAAAACAGCAGCAGCAACAACAAATCCCTCACAAATCCAAAGCAAGCTGGGCGTGGTGGTGCAGGCCTGTAATCCCAGCACTCGGGAGGCTGAGGCAGGAGGATTGCTGTGAGGTCAAGACTAGCCTGGCTACATAGTTCCAGGTCAGTCTCAATTACATAGTGAGACCCTGTCTCAAACAAACAAACAATCCAAAGCAGCTGGGCGTGGTTGCACACACCTGTAATCTCAGTACTTGGGAGGCCAAGGCAAGAGGATCACTGTGAGTTCAAAACCAGCCTGGGCTACATAGTGAGTTCCAGGTCAGTCTCAACTACATAGTGAGACCCTGTCTCAAAAAACTGAAAGGAAAAAAAAAAAATCCAAAGCAGAAGCATCAGAGAGTTTAGGGAATCTCCAATATATATCAGCTTTGTATGAATCATGAAAAACTTAGGAAAATAGGTGAAGTATAGCTCTTACAATGAACAACAAAAGTCTCTTAATTTTGCTAGGGTTCTATGCTCCAGTGATGTTTTTCACGGTTCACTGAGATTTTTACTCCACAAATGAACTTTGAGATATGGCTCAACTGTAGGAAAATCCACTCCATTTTGTTGCAAGAATAACTCACCTACCCAATGAAGATACCTGGTAGAAAATACATGGGTAATGAGAAATTTAGTTTCTTTCTGAGAAATTCATATTGCTATATTAATGTTTATTCTTTTTAAAAAGCCCATTTAACATTTGTTAATATATTAGGAAAATTATTTTACTCTTGTGTCATTTTACCTAGCAGTGTAAATACAATTAATGCTGACTCTAATGTAATTGCTATTTAAAAATACATGTCAACACACACACACACACACACACACACACACATTTTTTCAGGTTAATTGTAATGGTCCTTTAAAAACATATAACTACTGAGGCAATTGATTCATTTTTTTCTTCCTGGTCTGTTGAACCAACCTTTTATTTAATGAATTGTAGGCTTAGGCCATTTCAGGGGGGGTGAGAGTACCTAATTTTTTTCTCTTTTGTAATGCTAGGTATTGAACCCAAGCCTTTGCACTGTTATAGCCTGTTGTTTTTTTTGTACCGGGGATCAAACTCTGGGACCTTGTGCTTTCCAGGTAGCTGTTGGAACCACTGAGCTAAATCCCTGTCCCCTCAGTCTTTTTTAATGTTGTCAGTGTTATGGTTTGAGTCTAGATGTCACCCCAAAGTGGTTATACCCTTGACCTAGACTGTGTGAAGCTGGAATTGATTCATGCTGCAATGCTAGGCTCAAGGGCACTAGGATTAAGGGCGCGAGGGCTTCCTGCCCTAAGTAGTCTGAATAAGATAAACGGGCAGAGACACTGGTAATTTTCTTGTTACCTTTTCTGCCTTCTGTGTGTCATGTTGTATCTCCAGTGCAATGCTTGTTAGCCATTCCAGCCTCAGAGCCAGCTGATTATGGACTGAAACCTCCACAAACTTAAGCCAAATAAACCCCTTCCCCTCCAACTTCAGGTGTTGGGTATTTTATCTCAGCAATGAGAGAAGAGTAACTGACACAGTCAGGGTTTTGCTAAATTGCCCAGGCTGGTCTCAAACTTGTGGTCCTTCTGCCTCAGCCTTCCAGCATGCTGAGCTTATAAGTATGCACCACCACACCCAGCCCCTGATCTAGCTTTAATATCTACTATGACTTGGATGTGATTTGTCCCCTGAAGTTTCATGTGTTAGGGACTTGGTCCTTGGGTGATGGTGGCAACTTTTCAGAGTTGCGGCTTAGTAAGAATCCTTTGGTTACGGGGTATGCCCTTAGAAGGGAGCGGGAGGCTCTCTCTCTTTTTTCTTTGACAGGGTCTTGGTATGTAGCCTCAGTTACCCTCTATCTCATGATCTGTCTGTCTCAGCCTCCCCAGTGCTTGGATTACAGGCATGCCCAGTGCTAAAAAATATTTCTCGATATAGATAAAAGTAAACATAAATTGCTCTAAAAATTATCAGGCTAGAATTAAGGCTTTAGAATTAGGATACAATTTTGCAGTTTTATATAAAAATTATTTTTTTTCTCTTTTTCTAAAAGATGTTCAGATGCAAAGTGGAGTGGTGAGAATTGACTATAAATTTCATGTAACTGGAAAGAGTAAATTAGGTCGCAATTCCATGCTTTCCGGGTAGGACAGGACACATTCCACATACCTGTGCAAACCCTTTATTAAAGCAACAATCAAAATACAGGATGGAACACATTTTCTTCTTGCTACAGTAATATCAACATATATTAGTCATTTGTTTACATCTTTAAATTATTTTAGAAAGTGAACATTTTATAGTTCACAAATTCAGCAGACTGACATTTCAGCCCGAATACATTTCCATCTTATTTTGCAACTTAACGAAGGACATTCAGAACTACTGAAATACCGCAGGCCAAACCTAAGCATATACATCTTTGATCCTAACTCACTGTTAGCGGGTCTATCATATCAGAAAGATACACCTGAAGACTTTTATTATTGGTTAAATAAAAATAATTTATGCAGAGTATTCTTAGAATTACGATTTTTACATTTTCTTTGATTTTGATTGTAGTATTCTTAGTATTACCCCCTTTATAAATTCCATCTCTAAAAAAAAAATCTCATAAAGAGCATCCTCCTTATATAATATTTCCCTTTATAACAGATAAAAACACACAATCCTTTGGAAAACATAATAAGCAATTCTGTTCTATTTATTTTCTCCACAATTGATTTGTTTAATCCAAACCTGTTAACCACTGAAGAAACTATACAAAATCAATAGGAAAATGAACTTTGTTATCTACTTGAAGGGTATTTTAATGAATGTAAAATTGACCAATATCTTGAAGATTACAGGTCTTCAAAATGTATGTGACTATAACCAAGGTTTGGTAGATAATTAAAGAATACCAGTACATTAGCTTAAAGAGCAAGAATAGAAACAGGAATTACTTTTAAAAAACTGCACAAAGACTGTGGGAAGATAGGTAAATTAGTTGAATTGTGTGGAAAATAAAGTCCGTGAAATATAAGGTAATGTTTCATTTCTTACCAAGTGAAAACACTTGCAGGAAATTCTTACTTAACAAAACCATAGTGACTGCTATTTGAAAGTTCTAGTACTGATACAACATGTACTCAAATGGCGTAATGAAAGGAAACTGATTAGCCTTTCTAAAATACTTCTTCAGTGGCTAGGACTTGGTGTCTCCATAGTCAAGCTGATCTGTATTGGGTACATGTACTATGTGTAGAGGGTGTTTGTTCAAAAACATACAAATATTTTTGTGTGCCTTACATTTTCTTCATGTTAGAGCTGAGCAGACAGTGAATAACAACCCAAACAGTAGATTTAAAACGTTATCAGTCTGTTAAAATGATTTACAGAGCCATAGTTAAATTCATTCTCTTTTCTCATCAAGTTGCTTGTTATTTCACATTTGCCCTTCAAAGAAAGTTTTAAAAGCATGGATTTGTACAATTAAAATTGAATCAAAAAAGATAAAGAAGGAAAATGGATTTCTGAATCCATTGTATGGGATGTCAGGCCTTTTAGCCTTAATTGTGGAAACAAATGCTGATAAGCAAGCGTCCAAAGTATTCCGGATGTAGCAACATGGCAAAATAATGCTTGGAATGGCTAAGAACATTCAGGTAATTTTAGAGCATTTTTTTATATGTCATATATCAGATATATTACATTTGGTTCCTAGAGATTTTAATCAAGTATTAGTATTTTTTTATCCAGTATGATGTACAAAAAGATGAGAATAGCAGATGTGTTCTAAAGATATGAAAATATAATTTATAAAACAAAACCATTATAAATTACAGATTTCCCCTATAAAATTCTGTTTTATCCCATATTTAGAATAAATACCATCCAAGATTATAGATAATATAGTGAATTAAATGAGCACATATGAATCATTTTAATAATTTAAAGAAAAAAAATTGCTAGCAATATGACCAGGATGACTCAGGAAACAGAAATTATTTGATTTTAAGAATAACTATGTAAGACCCAAATGACATGGCTTGGGATTTAGTATTAACTATTAGAACTGCCCAAATGAGTCCAATGTGCATGAATCTGTGCCTGCACACAGAAAGCCACAGCCCTATGCATTTCTAAGAAGCTGAATAATTCACTTTATTTTTGAAAAATTGGCTGAAAATCATAAGGTCTTCTACATTTCACATTCTAGCAGGAGGGGTTCTCTCATTTTATAAAGAAGCTGCAGGATGGATAGGAAGAGTTTTTAGAAGGAGAAATTCCCAGTTCAAGCCAAACTCCCTTTATAGTTTGGCTATTGCTATATCAAGAGCATTCTGATGTCTTAAAGAGGGAGAGAGTTTTAAAAATCTACATAATCTCTGTCTAAAGAAGCAAAGCTAGTCTGGAAACATTCTTTGGTCGCGTATTTTAGCTCTTGCTTTATATAAATTCTGCCCAGTTTTAATTTATTATCCCTGGTCAATTTCTACATGGAATGGATGCCTCCTTCATTTTCCATGTGAAAATCTGCACACGGGTTTGGGTGAGATGAGAACTGAACAGAATGGAGAAAAGTTCGGATCATGTGAATTTTGTTAAGTCCCTATTGTTGCTTTGCACATACAAATCAAAGGTATGAATTTGTTAACCTTTACAATGACTGGAAAATTTTAATATTCTAAGAGTTGGAAATAGAACTTTCTGGAGCCTACACACATAAAGCCCTAGTACAGAGAGCCCAACCAGAAGTTACAGTTTTTCTTGTGGCTGCTTATTACTCATTTCTCTAGGTGCCCTTCCTAAGACTTCTAACTGGATACCAAGTTAATTCCTTTTAAAAGGATGTCTCGTCAAAGTCCAAAGTCAGATTTGTCAAATATAATTCCATCAAGGTCACTTCTAAAGCCAATCCCACCGTTGTCAGTGACAGAGCCAGATACACTTGTGATAAAATTTTGACTACAAAAGCATCCTGTATCATATACCCATTTTGTTTTGCCCCCAGTTTTGCTTGCTTTATGCAACAGGGGCTACCGCAGACTGCAAACTTTCCATAAAGCAGAAATGTTTGGGCCTGAAAGGCTCTTATGGGCCTCTGAGTACTGGTTGCATATTTTAATAGATGAAAGAGATTAAGCCCTGGTTGTGCAAGGTCACTTTCCCAGATGGCGACAAGAGGGGGAATGAGCAGCTGGGTCCCTTCTCTCATTACCAGTGTGGGCCGTGTAACCTCTGACACGATAGATAACTCATCAGGTTTACCACAATGGATGTGGTCACGACTCTGCTAACTACTTTAAGGTCATTGTCTCCTTTGCTTGTAAGTGAAAAATGAAACATCACTCATTCTCACCAAGATTAAATCCCAATCACAGAGGTGGTCTCAGTCATTTTGTGGGAAGAGAAGTTCCACAATTTGTTTAAAATGCTATGATCTTTCAAAACATCTTTTTTGAGTAAGTAATGCAGCATACAAATATTTGGGAACTCAATAGACGAAAGCAAAAATCTGTAAAGTCATTGTTGAAAAGAGCAAAGATATTAATATAGGCTTGGTTCTCTGAGAAAGAGCTAGCACTCAGCACTCATCTAGTCTGCCCCTCTTAGAGATAGGGAAACTGGGGCCTAGACTTGCCCAAAGGCAGACAACTTGTGATGGCACAGGGAGGTTCGTATTAAACCTCTGGATGACTGGTTTTAGTTTTGCCTTCATTCCATAACATCATGCTGCCTTGCATCTACTGCATTTTCTGGGAACTAAATACAGTGAACCCTCAAGTTATGACCAGCCTGACATACAAACAACTTGGGTTAATTAGGTTAATGAAAGATTCATTTGGCTCTTGTTATCTACAGCAGCGTACCCAGGTCAACATCCAAATCTCAACTGTATTGACTTATAACCAACTTGAGTTACAGCCAGCCCTCAGGAACCGATCAAATTTATAAGTCAAGGGTCCACTGTAATTCAGTAATTTTGGCATAAAACTTGATGGCACAGTTCTCTATGCCACTACACTAGCCTTTTCTTCTCTTTCAAAAGCTCACAAGTCAGCTATGTGGCTTACAAAACTGGACATGGTTACACACTTCACAGATCCTTCTGTTTGCTGCCTTATACCAAGTGCGCATTTGACTGGCAGAGTTTGGTCCCTCAAGTACTTGTGAGAAGCCAGTATTCTACAACCTACAGGAATCGTCAAATGCCTGTCTTTGGAAACAATACATTTTCCAGGTAAAGAATCAGTCTTTGTTTAGAGGATGGTGTTACTTAAATGTAAATAGCAGTTTTCATGAACAGTATGGGTACATTTAGCCTTTTACAGTCTCTCTCCACACTTCGGTTGAGCTCACTGAAAGGCTCTCAGAATTGGACAGGTAAACACAGTTTTATTTGACTATTAAAGTGCTATTCCAGGGCAAAGTTTTCCTCAGTTTCAAAACAGCAGCTTTACTGGACATTAAAAAAAAAAAAAGCAATGTATGAAAACAGGCCTGGGAAATGAAAAAAAATGAGCATAATAACTACTTTGGAGCATTACAAATGACTTGTAGCTATCAGTCCTGGAACTGGTGACTGATACCAAAGCCGCTGAGGTAAACGTTCTAGGGGGAAATAAGGATAAAAATGGCAAAGAGGACTCAACCCAAAAGAGTAAATTAGTGTTAATATAATAACTACTCCATTATAAAGGAACAGTGAAAATAATTATAACTAAGAAGAAAGTGCAACAAACCCATATACGTGCATTTGCTATTGTAGCAGACTATATTTTTTAAAAGGAAAAGCAATGCAGTATGCATCAGACAGGGCTCTTGAGCTCAGAATATCTTACAGTAGTGTACTCTTTGCCAAAAGGGCATCAAATAAGGGATTTGGCAGATAATGGCCTCTACGATCCATATCACAAGGACAGACACTCTCTGTCCAGTATCAGTTCTGCGCCCTGATATTTCCTGTGTCTTCTTCTCCCGGGGAGAGGCCGGTCACATCCACTGCACACAAGTGTCTCCCCTCTAATGTGGCATCACTCCTAAGCGATGAGTCTCCTGGTAAGGCTTAGCGGCAAGTGCGTACTACATCTGTATTACAAGGAGCAGCCCCTGGTTTTCTTGATATGCATAGCTTTTCAGAGTGAATATTAGACATGGCTTTCATAAATAATGCAGGTGTTTTTGTCACATGTCACTGCTGGCTCTGTCATTTCCAGGTGAGTTGGTGGCAGTCCTTGATCTGATACCTCTACAGGTGATGGTTCCTCAGAGGTTAGCTCTGTGGATGTTATGTCCGTAGAAGGCTCTGCAGTTTCTGGGGAATGTCCAGCCGATGGTTCTGTCTCCTCTTCATCTTTGACTTCAAACTGTACACCTTCTTGATCATCCACATGATCTTTTTTGGACTGGGGGTGAACAGACACCTTGATGGCAATTTGCTGAGGCTGTTCGTGCAGTGATGAGGCATCTGAGTCAGCGGTGGGAGAGTCACTTCGCTTCAGAGAGTTGGGGATTGTGTACACCTCATCCCTGTCTGTAGCCTCCTGGCCTTCTGGGGTGTGCCTTACAAAATTCTGTCCCTGCTCCTCAAGCCCAACTACTTCCATGATTTCCTCCATGATGGTCCTGCAGTTCATGATGAGAGGAGGCAGAGGCACACTCCTGGCAAGCTCTTCAATATAACGGGCAAACTCCATGGTTTTGAACTGGGTGACTTTGGCAAGCTCTAGAGTTTTGGCTGAGGTGATGATGGGGATCCGCTTGGCAATCTCGAAGGCCTTCTGCAGCTTCTCTGCCCCTTCTGTCCTAAAGAACTCATTGATGGCTTTCTCAGTCTTCTTCAGGTGGCTGCTCATCATACACAAGCGGGTGATGTTGAGGACCATGACAATGGTGAAGGCCACGAGGCAGACAACCATGTAGTAGACGCCCATGTCTCCAGAGGTAAAGATGACTCTCAGGGTCACCGTGTTGTTCACAGTGCCATAGATGTTAGAAGCCACACATGTGTATTTACCTCGGTCTGAGAAGGACACCTTGGTGATATTCAAGAAGCCGCCATCGAGCATTTGCCATTTTCCTGTCAGAAGAGAATTCAAATAAGAATGTTCCCATGACACAGATTTACACATTTCTAAGATCTAACAAGAATGTGCCAGTTATTAATTAATCTCCACACCAACTCTGTGAGGTAGTACTATTATAGGATGAGGAAAACTGAGGCAGAGTTAAGCAGCTTTTCCAAGGTCACCTGTTTGGAAATAGTAGAACTTAAACATGAACTGGTACTCTGCATTTGGTAAGCTGTATTCTTTTTCACATCTGCAGTGCTGAGAACTGAACCCAGGGCCTCATCCATACTAGGCAAGTGCTCTACCATATTGTGCAACTTTATATCCTAGTGGAAAATGGAGAAATGATCTGAAAAATGCTGCTCTTAAGAAAGAATACCTTGCTGGGCGTGGTGGCACATGCCTGTAATCCCAGCACTTGGGAGGCTGAGGCAGGAGGATCACTGTGAGTTCGAGACCAGCCTGAGCTACATAGTGAGTTCCAGGTCAGTCTCAACTACATAGTGAGACCCTGTCTCAAAAAAACCAAAAAAAATATTGAAGATATACTCCTAAGTGAAATAAATAAGTCACACATGTGTAAATACTGAATAGTTTCCCTGGTGTGAATAATCTGCAACAATGCATAAGATTCTAGTAAGATTACTGACATTTAGAAATGGGAAGAAAGGAGCTAAAGGTGTAGGGAAGGTGGGATGGGTAGGGGAAGAGTAAAAAGGGAAAAGAAAAAAATGTGAGAGAATGAAAAGATGAAAATAAAGTGTTTGTAGATGGGGAGGGGAGGAGGGGGTGAAGGGAGGGCAAGAGGTAAGGAGAAAAAATGAGAATCAAGACTCATCATGTAGAGGTACAAGATCCCAACAATGAATGTAACTGTACTGTATCCCTAAAATGTACCAATAAACTCAATTAAAGCTGAAAAAAGAAAGAAAGAAAGAAAGAATTCCTTGATTGCAGAATCCGACCTTCTAACCTGCCTGTGAGCATGGCTCTCAGAATATAAAGTATTTGAGATTCAACATAGTATCTGGAGTAAACAAACTGTCATTGTTTACCTGGTGTCTCATACTTGAGATTGGTGTTATCCCTTTATGACCTCTGGTTAATTAAAACATAATTTATGTCATCAATTTTGAGAGTGCAGTGAATTTTCTAAAATTACAACCCAACAATGTGAAGAATAAGAGGCTGGGTATGAATTATTATCAATTTGTTTTAGTTTTGCAAATAAACTAGGCCAATTGAGATGAAAATCTGACATGAAGAATACACTTGGATGAAGGTAATTCTGCGGTTCTGAATCCAGTGAGACTCTGGATTACTGCATAGCTTATCTGCCTGTTGCTTGGAAGATCTCTGTGGAACCCAATGCTAGGCTTGGTTTTAGGGTCTTGGCTCCAAGCCTTTCTAAAATCCTTCCAGCTCCTGAGACTGTCCCAATATACAAAGATAATCCAGGCCTCTTGGGAATTCTACAGAGCAAGAAGAAATTTCTGATAAAAGAACTCTAATATCCCGAGACAACCCAAGAAGCCTCTTGCAGGACCTGGGACAATTTATTTTTATTTAAAAAATTTTTTTTTCTTTTGGTACTGGGGATCGAACTCAGGACCTTGCACTTGTGAAGCAGGTGGTGGAATCACGGAGCTAAATCCCTGGCCCATGGGACAATATAAAATGAAGTTTTTAAAAGAAAAATTATTGCATTGTATTTTATTTGTATCTTCCCCTTATGACAGTGGCTTTTACTTCTAATGAAAAACCTGATGCTTCTCCAAATAGGCATGCTTTAAAAGAAAAAAATTTCACAAGTACAGAAGTGGGCAGGGTCACAGTGTACTGTGGAACGATGCAACAGAAGGCCTGTTTTATTGCAGTGTCTTCTGCGTCAGAGTACATTCCTAAGGAGGCCAGCTGAGCAATGAGTACCTGCCTGGGGCCTATGCTTGCTCACATTTACCGGCTGTGGTGAATCTGGCAGGAGGCCTCTCTGCAGATGCTGTCATATTACTCTGGCTTTTCAAAGAACATCTGTGAAGACCGGTTCCTTGTGTCCCTGAGTAACCCTTTTCTAACAGTGCAGCCAGTGTAATTTTCCCCAAGAGTACAAAAAACTAGTTAGAAAGTTTAGTGACTTTTCAGTTTCTTATGAATGTATATAAAGAGATAAACCTAGCATCTGGCCTGTGACGGTCTCTCTTATTTGGGAGGGACACGTGTAAGCCTTCTACCACTTTGATTCCCAGGGTGCATTTCTTCAGCTGCAGTCTTACATGAGTATACAATGATTGGAGGCCAGAGAAACTGCATTATCAATTTCTTTTCTTTCTTTTTTTTGACGGGGGGGATGCTGGGGATCAAACTCCGGTCCTTGTGCTTGTGAGGCAGGTGGCAGAACCACTGAGCTAAACCCCGGCCTCACTTTATTTTCTTATAAGCCTTGTGTTTCATAAAGTATACTATAGCAGACATAGGGAGAAAAATATCCTGGCTGATGGAAAGCTTATTTAATACAGATGGTATCAGATTCTACAGCTTAACTATAAGCCATGACGAATATGGATACATACATTATAATCATAAAACAGTTGGGTTATAATCAACACCCTTGGTAAGTGACTGAAATCACAGTCCTCTGAGAGTAACTTCTTGTTTCCAATCTAGGATAAGGATATCAAAACATCTCTTTTACTAGATTCTTCTTTAAAATATCATCTATTTTATGGATTAAGGTAATATTAATATCACTCAGGATTCTGCTCATGTGCAATAAGGTGAAACAAATATGTGACTTGGATTAAGCATTCTATGGTGATACCACAAAGCAATTCCAAGATATTGGAAACCAAAATACCAAGACACCCCACACACAAGCCCATCCAAGGATTGTATCAGAAGAACTACAATTCTGACCTTCTGATCTCAAAGTTTATTTCTCTCAAGGCTGATATATTTATTCCTAAGAATGAAAGCCCCCAAGCTTTTCACCTCAGCTTCCCATCCAAATGGTGAAAAATAGATTTCTGCTGTTTACCACCAGATAAAACTCTGAAAATTAAGAAGAGTTACAAATTCTGGTTGGGGTCTTCGTCCGTCAGGGCTAGCCTGAAACAGAATCTCCACGTTACCTGCCCAGTTGGGAACATCTTGAGCACATTCACCTCTGACTATAAATATCTTGCCATGAGACTCATTCTGGAGGGGTCCTGACTTTGGCTCACAGTCAGAAAGTGAAAGAGACACAAACACCCACGATGACTGTCACAGGAAATCTTCAGTGCTAAACACAGGAGGCAGAATACACAGTGCTGTTCCTGAGAAGTTTAAACTAACTGAGTGGGAATGTCACAGCTAGGCATCGAATCTTCATAAAGCTGCATCACTTTAGTACAAATAAAAACCCAAAGCATTAGCAGCAGATGCCGAGTCTGTTCTACATGCAGTGATTTTGAGGACAGTAAAAGAGATGTTACCTCATTACTTTCTGGATGTAACACTAAAGCAAGTGTAAAGTATTTCCCTCACATTGATGCTACCTGTCGTGATCCTTCTGTGCCTAGCTCAGACTGTAGCCCCCAGTGGACTTCCCTTCCCTGTCTCCATCCTCTTTCCAGAGCTGTCCTGGAAGATGACACACACGCCTGAGGCTTCAGACTAAAATACTGACATGCGTTACTGCAAACCTGGAGCTCACAGTCTTCCCTCATAAACTCCAGGCATGTGAGTCACGTGTGATCTTCCACAGGTGAATGCGAGTGTGGTGGTGACAATCTCCTTTGCAAAGAGAAAAGCTAACAGATGTTGTTTTTGAACTATACGGCAGTGTGTGTGTTATGCTGCACAACAAAGCTGATGTTTTTAGAAGGGCAATGATCTTTTTTCTTGCTCACTCATCCAGCCAATAGATATCACTGAAAAAATTGTCTGTGTACCAGGCTCCATGCTAGATGATGAGAATACAAAAATGAGTAACATACGATTCCTGACTGCAAAAAATTATGCAGTTCCAACAGGGAGGCAGAAGCCAACAGACAGCTCCAGTACTGCGTGCCAAGTTCAATGGTATGTGGGAGCGCTGGAAGAGGGGAAGGGCTTCCTAGGAGAGGGCAGCACTAAGCCAGGCTGGGAAGTGGGGATTACAGGAAGGAAGAGGAATGGGCATAAGAGATAGGACTTGTAAGGCCAGAGGGCGATGGTGGAGGGAAACACACACACACACACCCCTC